CTTCCAGAGTTCTCATTGGCATGTTCTTTTCCACCAAGGAACTCTCCAGCTGCTGTCCGTGTTATTTTAGGTCCGTCATCAAGTGGCTTCCTGTCTTAGTACCTCATAAGTTATTAAATGCCATAAAGGAGTGTTTGCCATTCGAGATGGCTAAATATTTACAGGAAGAGCAGGCCAAGTGTGTCTTGAGTAGCTGAATAACATCTCTTTATTGTCATCTCCCAACTTTACACAAGGAAATAGCTGTCGTGTGTTCATTCTCCCTGTGATAATCTTTCCCGGAAAGCCTGTAAAATGAGAATGAACAATTCCTATGACTTCCAGCTTAAAAGAAAGGGAGAGTCCTTTGTCCTAGCACCCTTCCCCGTGCTGCCTATCTTAATCCGGCTTTGAAGAGCCACCTGGGAGGGCCAAACGTTTCTAACAGCTGCCATCAGATCGCTGCTTTTGAAATTCACACCACACCAGAGGGAGCTAGAGGTAAACCAGAAACCTGTCCCAAAGCCACTGAGTTTGGCAAAGTCAAACTAGTAAACTGTCTTCGGGTGGGCCATAGTAGCTAGGCCTGTTTAGGTTAAAGGGCCTCTGAGACCTATAAATGCCTGGTTATATGTGCCTCTCAAAGAAATTTAGTGCTGAGCTGGACTATTCACAAGCCTAGCGGTACTTCCCAAAGGTGGCCCCTCTAAGAGCCTTAGTCTGCTCTCTAGTTTATGTCGCACCCTGTGCCACAGCCAAGCCCTTCAGGAAGGGGAGTCTACCCCCAGCTTTGCCACTGCTGACTCTGCCCTTAACCTCTCTGAGGTGCTGTTTCCTCACCGTTAAGGAGTATATTGTTCCCTGCTGCCCTGCTTGATTGAAGGAGTGGCTATGAAGGCTAGGTGACATGAGGCAAAAAAGTGCCCTGAGAACTATCAGGCTCTCCCAATGGGAGTTGAGAGCGGCAGCAAGGAGTCACGATAAGGTCAGGGTCCTGGCTAAGAACCCTGCTAGCTCTTCTGTCCTTGACAGCCTGACTCCTAACCTGTGCCACTCAAAGTGCACCCGTGGACTTCCAGACCCCCGCCTGAACCTCCATTTTAACTAGATCTCCAGGCAATTCAGTTGCTGATTCATTTTAGAAGCCTCACCCTAAGGTGACTTTCCTCACTTGAAGACTCATCACCATCATCCTGTCCTAGTTGGGAAAAGGCCGATATACAGGCTTTGAAAATTTAGAATTAAGAGCTTAATTGATGAGAGGGCCATGCAGGAGATGAAGAACCCTGAACCTTTTGCCTTTTCTTTTCCTTCTTTTGTTTACATTTCCCCACCATGGGGAGGTAAGCTATGTAAGGGAAAAGATTTTTGTCTGTTTATTTACTGCTATAACCCCAGACACTAGAACAATGCCTGCTACATACTGAGTGCCCAGTAAATATTTGTTGAATGAATAAGGCTAATAGATTAGACAGGTAATCTGAGCTATTGTCAATCAGAGCATCTCTGTAATAGTATTATTGGAATAACAAGTGTAAACAGAATCATTTTTAGGAGAGGGAGAAATTTGAAGTAGCATATTAACTATGACATCTGCCATCTGCTTGTCTCTGGTTTCTCCTGAAACCTTGTTTTTCTTGTCAGATTCTCACTACAAACTCCAGCTTGATTTAGCCAGGTGCAAAAAAATTAACAGCTGGATGCTGAGAACAATCACTTGTCTGCCTGGGAAACCTCGCTGCAGGGGTCTGCTGAGGGCCTATCTATTCATCCTGCAGAGCGTTAGACCCAACTTCCCCAAGAGACAGCACCACTGCATCGTGAGTCAGTGTGGGGATCTTTCATTTGGACAGGAATGGAATTACAAAGCATTTCCTCCAGCAAGGTATCTGAGTGAGTGAACGTCCCCGAGGATAAAGATCCCTTTCCGTCTGACCAAGGGGACTCCATTTTTCTTTCCTCCCTCTTTTCTAGGGCTTATTTCAAGGGTTTCTGCCTTATTCCTGTCTCAGTGTTTGCTCTTAGTTCCTGTGCCTCTGCCTGAGGTTCAAGTCCCACATCCACGCAGGATGTGCTTTCTAGGGTTCTAGAATCATGCCGCCTTGAAACCTATCATTTCTCCCCTGAGAACCCCAGGCTTAGCTTTGCACATCGCAGTGGGGCCTTGTAACCCCTGTCTAGGAAGCCTGAACCAGTTTACTCTAGGAGCATTTGCTCCCTTTCCCAGCTCTGCAACCTTAGGTTGAGTGGGAGGTGGGGCTGAGTGTGGGCAGGATCTTCATGAGCTTTGTGTGGACAGGCCCCAGCACCTCCCTCATCCTCAGTCCTCTGCCATTCCCCCCCACCCCCAACTGCTCCGCAGTGGCTCTTCATCGGGACAGGGGCTTGCTCTCAGAGGCCTCTGCCATTTTGGCACACACTTATCTGGTATCAGGCCCACCCGTACTTATATAGAACATTCTCAAACATAAGGGTTCATCAGAACAGCCTAAAGTAGCCTGATTAAACACAAACTACTAGGCCCCACCTCCAGAGTTTCTGATTCATAAGAGCTCAGGGAGGGCCTGGAAAAACTGCATTTCTAACAAGTTCCCAAGTGAGGCTGGGTACTGGACCCCAACTTTAATAGCCACTGACCCTGGGGCTCGGCCCTGCCCAAAGCCATCCGCCGCAGCTGCCACCAGAGGGCACACATGACCTTAGCCAGAGGTCTCATTTTGCCTCCAGCTACCAGCTGCTAGCCCTGGTAGACAGCAGAAGTTCTTTCCTA